TCGCCAACTTCGCCGGCGCGCGGGGAGAATACGCAGGACCCGCCTGAGGCGCGGCCCTGCACGGACGGATCCCAGCGGGCGCCCGCTCTCGTTTTGGATTTTTACCTATGGGCTTTTATTTCATGCCAGTATCGTTGTATTTCCTCCTTCGCGGCGGCGGCGGCGACTGAAAATGGCGTGGTGCCGTTCAGCCTGCGAATGCCGTCGCGCCAATTCGAAAATGAGCGCGAAAAACGAAAGTTTGGAAATGGGACGATTCCTCTTGATCTTTCGTCGTCTTGACGAGTCCGTAAGCTGCGTATACAATAGACTATTAATGCCCTCTGGGGCCGCTAGAAGCGGCCACGGGAGGCGGAGTGACGCCGCGTATTGTGTGCGCGTGTGCGAGTGTGTTGTCTTTGGCTCAACGAGAGGGGGAGGGGGTGGAGTGCGCCTCCTTCGTTTTCCCCGCAGCCCGCGTGTATACTCTTTTCTTTTCTTTTCTTGCATGCGCGGAGTACCACAACCCTCCAGGGTGATGTCTTTTTCGCCATCTCTTTTTTCTATCCCTTGTTTTTGTTTTCGGCTTTTCTGCGCTGCGGGTTTTGCGTCGGCGCCGCCGCGAGGAAGAGAAGCAATACAAGCTAAGCTTTCCACGCAAAGAAAAACAAAAGGAAAAGAGAAGAGGCTAGTCGTCTGACGAACGTTGCACCCAAACAAATCTCTGTTGTTGCCAATTCCCCTGGCTTTCGTTCCGTTTGCAGGCATTTTTTTTTTGCCGCGTATAAGTTTGTGTTGCGTAAGTCCAGCTACCACGGATCCCCACGCAACACTGTCGTCCTTCACCGAGAGCGCTTATCTATTTGCGCCACTGCGCGGAAGAGACGAAATACTACCGATATAATGGATATCAACTGCACACTTATTGAGTGCAAGGACGCCAAGAACCCCGCTTGCACGCTGTTCAACTTCCTGATCCTCGATGCCCCGTCGTCGAGCAACCTTCCCACGTACGTGAAGGCGCTTCAGCGGCGTCAGGTGCGTCACCTCGTGCGGGTCTGCGGGCCCACGTACGACGCCGCCCTGGTGGAGAAGAGCGGCATTGAGGTCCACAGCTGGCCTTTTGACGACGGTGCGCCGCCGCCGAAGTCCGTGCTGGAGGGCTGGTTCAGGCTCCTGGACCAGGAGAAGCAGCAGCTGCTCTCCGGTGTCTCGCCCCAGCCCGCGTCCATTGCCATTCACTGCGTGGCCGGCCTTGGCCGCGCCCCCATACTTGTCGCTCTGGCGCTTGTGGAGTACGGCGGCGTGGAGCCGCTCGACGCCGTGGAACTCGTCCGCGAGAAGCGGCGGGGCGCCATCAACCAAACGCAGATGCAGTGGATTATGAAGTACAAGCGACGCTCTGGAGCGGATGGAGGCTGCAGAGTCATGTAATGGCCGCGGTGGCGGCGTCACGTGTATCGGCTTTTCGCAACGCTTCACTGCTTTGCTCTCAGCGTGGCTCCGGTGGCCGTTCCCCCAGCGGTGGCCCGGGGCAGCGGGGGAGAGGAGGCACTCCACGGCCCGCGGAGGCAGACGACGAAAGAAGTACCGCATCGGGGCCGCAAAGAGCGATGGAAAAAAGAGTGTAAAAGTTTGAACTTAAACGATTGGTCCTTAAGTATTTTCTTTTTGAAGTGAAGGCAATAAGAAGAAAAACAAACAAAAAAAAGAGCAGAGATGACGAAATAAAAAAAAATGCAGAAAAAAAATATGGCACGGATTTTTTTTTTGTAGAGCTGCTGCGCTGCCGCTGCACCGGCGGTGGGCCTTCGCTCCGCCCCCACCTCGGGCTCCCTCTGGGCGCGAGTGTGCTGTTTCCCAGCCGCGGGGAGGCGGGGGCGGGGAGGGGAGGGGAGAGCACGGAAAGTGATTGGGTCACCCTGCGACTATTGCCCCACGCGACCTATGCAAAATGCACCTAAATGAAGGATTTATGTAAAAACGAGAGGAAATAATAATAATAATAATGAAAATACTTGTATGCATTCCCACAATCCTCATTTCTTACCTTCAAGCACTCACGGACAAGCCGCAGGAGGGACGCTGGCTGAAGGGAAAATAAGGAAAATGTAAAAGCTCATCTCTCACGTGAGATATGCAGCTTTTATAAATGTTGATCAAATGTGATGTATAACGCATTAACGACGAATTAGTGGATCTCTTTTGTGAATTAGACATGCAATGAAATTGTACCGTGTTTTTTGTCTCTTGGGAAAAGAGCTGAAATGCGCGCTGCCGCTGCCACGCACCGTCTCTTGTGGA